CAGGAGGCAGCTGATTGATGTTTCTCTCTCATCGATGTTTCTAACTCTCTATCCCTCTCCCTTCCTCTCTGTAAAAAATCAATAAAATATATGAAAAAAAAACAATAAATTTCAACCATTTATGAATTAAGACACATACAACTACTTACTAGGTAAAGGACTGCAACAATACTAATAACTGACAAAATACAGTCCTTAATACAGTCTAGGCATAGTTGTAAGCACTTTGTATCTATTAATTCATTTACTTTTACACAACAATCCTGTGAGTTAAGGACTAGTATTATTCCCACTTGACAGCTAGAAAAGTGGAAGCACAGAGAGATTAAATGATTTGCACATGCCCTGACCAGTTTGGCTCAGTGGATAGAGCATCGGCCTGCAGACCGAAGGGTCCCGGGTTCGATTCCAGTCAGGGGCAGGTGCCTTTGTTGCGGGCATATCCCCAGTGGGGGGTGTGCAGGAGGCAGCTGATCGGTGTTCCTCTCTCATCGATGTTTCCAGCTCTCTATCCCTCTCCCTTCCTCGCTGTGAAAAATCAATAAAATATATATTTTTTTTAAATGATTTTGCACATCAATAGGTGTTAAGTGATGAGCCAAGATTTGAACCCAGAAAGTCTGACTCGAGACTCTGCTCCTGACCATACTCTATACTGACAGCCAACACACAGCACAGAATAGAGAATTCACCTTCCTGACCAAAGCTAAGTATGTTACATGCTTTCAAGATGTTTAATATACCTTTAACCATTTGCTCCAGATTTTCCAAATAAAATTTATATTGGCTAACAAGCCCTTCTTCAAATTCTCTTAATTTTTGGGTTTCTTTGCGGATCTGAAAAGACCAAAATATCAATCACGTTTTAACATCAAAATATTGAAATCCAAAAATTAGCACAAAATGTTGAGTGCCTAGTATACTAGGTCATGTAAAACCATCCAAACAATACAAACAAACAAAACAAAACAAAACCACCCTGTTTCTCCCATCTCTAGCTCTCCAAACTTTTCAGCTTATTTTCTATAGTACAGTAATTATAGTTAGCATACCTTGGTAGATTTTTCCGCTTCTGTTAGGGGCCGAATTTTATATGAAGGAGTAATGTCTTTAAATAACTCCATCAGAGAAATGACCACCAGCTTTCGAACAGTAACAGCCACATCAGGATCCTGTTCCATCAGCATGGAACGTAATTCTTTCAGTTTTTTAACCTGTTAAAAGAAATTACTCATCAGGCTAGAGAAATAATAACAGAACAATCGTGAGCAAAAGCAAAAGCAACAGTTCCACATCTGGCCCAGTAACTAGAATTCACACAATGACTCCAAGAGTCTAGTCAAGCCATACACAACTCAACACTGCCACTACTGACAGATAAGTCACTGAAGTTACAAAGTAACCATGTTTTTGTTAAATAAGTAGTTAGAAAAAATACAGACTTAAAAAATAGTTTAAATTTGTTAATTTACCTGTTTTAAGAAAATCTTTTTAATTGGATTTTCTTAATGCAAGTGTGTCTTATTTCACTAAAAATACTTTTTGAAATATTGTTATATATACACCAATCATATGTTGTGTAATCACACATATACAAGTTAATCAGGAATTAGTACAATGCATCCACAGGTAATTAAGCTTCAGAGTTATTCATGTAACGATATTTGTATGATGCAACGCAGAAGTAAAAAATTGGTTTCAACTAATGTGCCCATTGCTTTGATGAAATACTATTGCCTGCTGGAGTGGTATCTCGAGAAGCAACACTGGCTGATTAACAATGCTTGCCATAGCAGGGAGCAGGACAAGTATGTCACCTCCATTTGCTCGCCCTAACTTATGAAAAGAGCATGAGACTCCAGAGTTAGAAGACCTGGGTGCCAATCCAGTGGCTGTTAAAATCTGAGAGAAATCACTTGAGGTTTTAAAGGCTCTATTTTTCAGCTGTAAGATGAGATCAATAGCTCTTGTCACCATGGTTTGACAATAATTAAATGAGATGATACAGATCAGAAATATCCCAAATCCCCCTCCCTGGTTCTGCTCTCCTGGCTTTGTTAGAAAAGGACCATTACTATTCCAAAGCATCCCCACAGGAATTTTTTTCTATAAATGTAAATAACCTACTTTATTGTCCAATAAACAAGTATTTGTCGTAGGAGGATGCTGGGGACACCAATATAACAAAAATAATAGTATCACTTTATATAACTTCATGTCTATCATATCATTCAATCATCACAACAATGTTTTAATATAGGTACCATCTCCCTTTTAGAGATGAAGAAAATGAATCTTGGCAAAAAAAACTTACCCAAATTCTAACACACCATACTTACAAGAGCCAAGACTACACCTTGGATTTCTTGAGTTAACAAGTTATAACTATCATCACCTTCACTACTGTACTCATGGTCAATGATAATTCATTATAACTTTCTGATCCATTTCACTTAAATATTTTATACTTACAAGTATTCCTAAACTACTCCTGTCTTTTGTGTGCGTGTTTCTTACTATAAACTCTACAGTCAGTCAAGCAAATTTGCAAGTAGGTTCCTCCTCCCTAGTATAATTAATTTGTATAGACTTACCACTATGAGTTACAACATTAAATCCAATATCTTCATTTAGAGACTCAGAGCATTTATGAAACTTTAGTGAGATTACAGAAGAAATGAAGCTCAGATGTAGAATTAGGCTAAGGTTCTGTCTGCTCTCTCATTCTAACTCAGTTACTACGTTTTGCTAATGCTTTTCCTTTTTGTGTGTACTTTAGGTAACAAGAGAATCTTAAAATATTAGACATTTAGACCATATCTGATGTGAAGAACCTAAGGAAATTAAAAGTGCTTACATTATTTTCTGGGTCTGATAATATGGCAGATGCCAAGGCTGCAATATGCAGTTTCTTCTCCTGTAGCTTCTTCTTTCTCTCAATTAAATGCTCTTCTATGGTCAGCTCGCGAATAGGATCTTCAATAATCTCTGAAACAGATTAGGTTTTCCCTCTTAAACGTTCCTTTATTTACAAGTGTCCAGGAACCTTATTTCATATTCTCTCAACAATCATAAGGCATGTACTATCAATAGCCCCATTTTATAGATCAGGAAACTGAGGCAAAAGAAAAGTAACTGGCCTATCCTCATAATCCTAGCAGAAATGGGATTCAAATCCAGGCAGTCTGACTCAAGAGCTCATATTATTAATGACCATGCTAATAAACCCACAAGAATTCATATTAATTAAGGGGAAGGACAATCTGATTCAGTTGTCTTCAGAATATTCTTTGTTTTCAACTCTATTCAGTCCTTTGAACTACACAAAATATGTTCACATTAAGAAATTCATAGGGAACTAGGATTTAATAAACACACAAGTATAATCGGCAACAAGCCTATGAAGGATGACTGAAAACCGTAAAATAGTTGATCTATAATGTCATTTACACTATCAATGAGGTTTGCGAACAGAAGTAAAATTTAACCAGCTTGTTCTGTCATGAATTTCAAAGCAATATAGTTTCAAACAATAAAATCTTTCTTTCCATTTAACTTTAGATAGAAGTATGCTAGCTTTTAGAAACCCACATGTAATCAAACCAAAATGATTTCATACTACAGAATCCATTTTTGTAATTTAAAGCTAAATAGGTAATAGTTATTTATAGGCAGGTCCTTCACTTACAACTAAAAAGAATTCAAAACAGTTCAATTAACAAGACTCTTCATGCATGCCTACACATTACAAATATTAATTGTATAAATTTTTGCATAAAAAGCAACAATCAAATTCCACCAGATAAAACTTTCAAAATGTGAAAAATGTTCACAATGACCTTGAAATAATCAGTATTCCAAAATGCACATTCCAGATTTTACCTAAAATTATATCACTTATATTATACAAAAAATGTAATTCTCAATTAACCATAAATTTTTGCATAATAAAAAGCAACAATCAAATTCCACGAGATAAAACTTTAAAAATGTGAAAAAATGTTTACAATGACCTTGAAATAATCAGTACTTCAAAATGCACATTCCAGATTTTACGTAAAATTGTCTCACTTATATTATACAAAAAATGTAATTCTCAATTAACAATTTAGCAACTATAAAGATGTATCCCATTACCTTCCTCAAGTTCCATCTCTTCTTGATCCTCTTCATCTTGGTTAGTGTCAAGAACTATGGAAAATATGTATATTAAAAATGTGATAATATACTTAAGTGGTGAAACTATCAAGAAAAGCATAGAAGTGATTAAAATAAAACTCAGGAAAGTAGCTATTTTTGTGAGGAGGGAGCAATTAGTGATTGAGGGGAGCACAAGGGAAGTTTCTAAGTGCTGGCAGTATTCGTTTCTTGCCCAGATGGTAGCTTTATGGGTGTGTTTTTTGTGATAAACCACATAACTTCACATCTTTGATTTCTGGATTTTTCTGTGTGCTGTATTTCACAAGAAAAAAGATTCATATAAGAAAAAAAGGCTAATAAAGGCTAATAAAGGAGGACTAATATGCTCAACAAGAGAATTTGCTAAAATACTCTAAAATCACCTTAACCTTATAGCTTCAGTTATACTCACAGTACAATAGACACCTAAGATAATCAACTGTATTTCTGGCCAAAATCATCAGCTTGCTATATGACTAACTGTAGCTACTTCTATTTTGTAGATATAGATAACAGTCGAGTCAAAATTAAATTAAATTTTTATGGAATGTGATATTTTTAAGGAGCTAAAATTGTAACTGACTTACCTGGCTTTTCCCTGGTCTGTGGGATTATACCACTTTTATCTTTGATAGGAAGCAAGTGAATCAATTCCTTCTCTGGTGCAGTTTGCAGAGATCGTGGTATTTTTTCATATTTATCTATAATGTTCTCATGCTTTCGTTTCTTGGCATGAACAGGTTCACTGTAGAAAAAAATTTAATTTTCAGTTTTAATATTTTAAAAAGGAACCTAGAGACCTACCATTTTTAAAACACAGAAAAATTAACCACTAGCCAAACCTTCACTAGGTATATAAATGTTAGCACCTAAACCAAGCACTTAAATAGTAAATGAATAAATTAATTTTACAGTCTATCACAAAGACTCAAACTATGGCTATATCTAGTTTTCCCTTTAGATGCAAAATTAAGATGAAAGCTGCAGCAGATTCTTTTTGAAGAATATGCCACAGAGCTAACAGGGACATCATGCTGTACTGCGTTCCCCAAAACCTTCAGAGCATAGCATAGACTTAGGAGTTAAAAAGATCTAAGTTTAAATTTCAGATCTACGAGTTGCGGGGAAGCATCAGTTTCCTCTCTGTAAATGGGAATAATACCCACCTCACAGAGTAAGGAGGATTGAGATCACGGCCATAAAGAACTCGGGAATGTTCTGCCAATTCCTCAAACAAAGAATAGCATTCTTCCCCATTCACTATTCAGACTCAGACGAAATAAAGATGTACACTAAATAAAATCAGCTTGTTTTATTCATGAACGTCCTTTATTTAGGAAATAATCTGAATAATAAATAGGATTTACTCTTTGTAAACATTGTGTTCAGAGCTGAAGTTCTGCACTAACCACCTAAGTAAAATTCAGAACCAAGTTTTTAACGCTGAAAGGATGTGAATGATTATTATCTAAATGAAGTATTACCTAGAAGAAAGATCTCTCGTTAGAAAAGATGCTCTTTGTCCTAAATCCTTCATTAACTGTAAGTCATCTTCATCCATCATATCTAAAGGTAGGGCTTCCTCTTCTTCCTCATCTTCCCTCTCAATCCTTTTACCTGTTACACACAAAATCAGAAATATGTATTAGAGATGTAGAAATTCTCCATTTTTGTGTCTACAGCAGGAAAAACGTATGCTTTTCTAATACCTTAGCCCAGTATTTCTAAATGGGAGCACTAGTCACGTGATGGACAGGACAATTCTTTGTTATATACAAGGGTATCATGGGCTAAGCAAAATGCTAGCATCTTTGACCCCTGAAACCTCAATGCCAGGATCATTCCCAGGTAACTCTAAGAATAAAAAACAAATGTCTCCACACTTTCTACAATGTCTTCTAGCACATTTGAGAACCAGTGACTTAGCCCCTTAGCTTCATCTGATCGCCAATGACTTTCACTTCCGTTCCACTTCAGCTAGCCCCTCCAAAGGCCACGTCCCTAATCCAAGTCCTCACCCCCCTCTCTGACCACAATCTTTTGTTCTTCCAGTCTCATTCAGTTACTTCCACTGCACCTCTTTTGGCCAAATACAATTATTAACACATCATGCTTTTTATTTTATATATATATAATTATTGATTTCAGAGAGGAAGGGAGAGGGAGAGAGAGATAAAAACATTAATGATGAGAGAGAATCATAGATCGGCTGCCTCCTGCACGCCCCACACTGGGGATCAAGCCCGCAACCCAGACATATGCCCTGACTGGGAATTGAACTGTGACCTCCTGGTTTATAGGTCAATGCTCAACCACTGAGCCACGCCGGCCGGGCCCACATCATGCTTTTTAAATTCTACAGAAATTTAGATGGAAGAGATATTTAGAAGTATCTAACTCAACCATCACATGTTTTTACAGATTAAATACCTGGAGATTAAATACCTGGCTAATTTAGGTTCACATTACTATTAAGTAACAAAATCAAGAGAAAAAGCCCGAGTTTCCTGGCTTCCATGCCCATGACCTTTTACATATCATAATAATATGTTGCCAAAAGATCAAACTAAATAGGTCAGGATTCAGAGAATGAGAAGCATATGGGAAGACTGAATATTCCGGTATAGTCAAATATAACTACTCTGAAAGTATCAGTAACATTGTAGAAGAACTGGTCTGACTCAAAATGGTCATATTCCCTACCTGTTTTGAGTACTTGGAGTTCTTGGACAGTTTTACAAAAATAACCCCGACATTTACAGCGCAATTTTACTCCAAGTTTTCGAATGAAAAGAAAGCCAGGCATTCAGAATACTAAGTGAATTTCGGCAACACTGAAAAACACACCAGAGAAAAGCAGTGTTCTTACCTTAGCTAACTGCCAGTGGATGGGAACGTGGCATGGCATGCTGCCTGGCATTCACTAGTATTTATTTACAGGGCCATTCTGAGTTTGTTATCCCAGGTATTGTATCCTCAGATCTGCTTTCTAGACATACCACAAGCAGAGGCTAGTCTCGCTCTTTCTCACAATGAGTACTATATTGAAATGTTTTCCTATATTGACTATAAAATTAGAAAGCATATAGGACTACTATCCTTAGCTACTCTTAAGAAGGATGTGTGACCAAGAGTGATTAATAGAATGTAATTACTGGAACATTTTAGAAAAGCACTTTAGAACAAATCAATGGAAATTAGAGCACATGAATGCTTTCACAATTACCTGGTCGTTTTTTCTTCGGGTCCTCCAGTGGAATGGGTTTCTTAGACACAGCATCTTTTACAGCTTGCCTTAGTTTCCTCTGTTCTTTTCGGTACTTCTTGAGATTGCTTTGTTGTTTAAATTGCTTATTTTTTAGCTTGTTTTCAAGTTTGACTTTACTAGTTTTTAGCAACTTCCTAAAGCTTGGGACCTGTTTTTTATTTCTTCTCTGGAAAACAATAACAGGAGGAATGCTGCATAACCAATAATTTATTATTATTTTAAAAATCAGATGAAAGAGAATTTATTATAAATTTCATTAGACCAATTCCACAATTCTAATGTCTCACAGCCAAGATCTTGCATATAAGAGCTAAAACCAAACTAAGGCATTTATCCCACAGAATGGCACTTGAGCCTCAGTTATTCAACCATGGGTCTTATTGTGACCAGAATCCATAGCTGCTCAAAGGGTCTAAGACCCCCCAAAAAGGTTAAGAACCATGATGTAATTGCAAATTATTCAAGGCTATCTTAATTACGTTAGCATACTCAGCAAAATGCGGGCTGTCTTTAACAATAACTGACATTTACATATTACTTTACTGTTTACACTGTTCTCCAACATTCTACCTCCAACAGCCTAGTTAAGCAATGATTGCCATTATCTTGACATTACTGCTGAAGCTATGGCTTAAGGATTATGCGACGTGTCAAAGACCCTTAAACTAAGAAAGGCAATACTGAATTCCGGTCTTTGGATTCCAACTCTCTTGATGGTGACCCCTTATTCAGAAATCCAAACCCTAGGGCTAATTTTCTGCAAGAACCGGAGCAGAGCACTTGCTTTCCTATCTTCTTACCCTTTGGAGGGAAGGACTCCTTTCGAATCCTATGACTCACACTATAACTCCACTGAGAACAGGACCCTGCTTCTCCTCTGTAAAATAAGGGGTTCGAAACACAGTCTTGAAGGAACCCTTCAATGTCTGACATCCTAGGGATGCAAGACTCGGTGCTCGTCTCATCGTGGCTACCGAAGCCGAGCGTGATCACAATGGGCAATAAAGGAAAACGCAGGTGTAAGGACCGGGATGCGGACGATGCCCTGCACCAAGAGGGAGCCCCGAATCTAGGCCACCGCCCCCTAAACAAGAGCGAAAACCGCCAGGAAAGCTACACCAGGCAGCGACTCTCAGCCAAAGGGACCCCTAAACCGCGGGGGCAGGGCTTCTGAGGACCCTTACCGCCTTCATCCTTAAAGCTGAAAGGCGTTCCGGCGCCACAAACTCTCCAGGGGTAGGGATGATCCAGAAATCCTGATGGGGAGACACACGTGTCGCCGCCGCGACACTGCAGAACGGAAGCTGCTGCTGACCCCGCCCCTTCTCCGCCGGAAGTGGGGGGCGGGACTTCCGTGGACCGGCTCGGGCGGACGCCCTCTCGCGGGGACAGTCTCACGGTCCGGGCCAGACGTCGCCGAAGTGTCCCGGGGCGGATAATTGGCTGGCTCTGTGAATCTAGGGGTCACCATCAAGAGTCCTATAGCCACCTGGACTCTTTCCGGATTTCCTTAAAAGTGGGAAGTTGGGCTCCTCATCTGAGAACGAAAGGACTCGATGTGTCAATCACCTCTCCGCATTTTGTGTCTCTCCTCACGTAGGTACCTCATTGTTGTGTTAGACTGGTGGGTTTTTTTTTTGGTAGTCTTCTTCCGTTAAGTCTTGAGGGCCGAGAAAAACTTACTCTTTCTGTGTAATGCCGGCGCTTTCCTGACCCTCGGCCAGCTCTCCGGGCGTGTTTGTGCAATGCCGAATTTCCCAGGACCTTCCGGCGCTCACAAGTTGGTGATTCTTGAATTTTTTTAAAAACACTTTTGCCTTCATAACTATTGCCTGACAGGTTACCTCAGTGAGATTCATGTGCATTTCAGTATTTTGCAAATACATTATTACCTTTGTGTAAATGGTATTGCCTGCTTAGCAATTCCGCCAACATTTTAACAGGTAGATTTGTGCACTGCAAGAAGAAGAACGTGTTTTTCAAAATGACTGACTCTAAGAGACCTTTCTTCATGCATAAGTTTAAGAATTCCACTTCGGATTATTAAAAAAAAGACCAAAAAGAGTCTATGGTTCTTGAGCACATTGCGGACACTGCGTCTGGCCTGACCGCCCTGAGCCAAGTGGGAAAAGTGAGCAGAGGCTCAAAAGGATGCTAAGCTTCCTGTGGGGGTGGGTCTTAGAGAGGCTGAGAAGAAACCTCCCAATTTCTGTATCCCACCCCAAAAAGCAAGAATCCCATTCTCTCCGGAATTCTCTCCATGCCTTCCAACCTCCCCAATTTCCCCATGGCTCTCTGTCCTGACACGCGTTCGCAGCAACAGCAGAGCCTGTCCCAATGGAGCATTACTTCATCAAGCAAATCGAAAACGTTCGCCTGTGGTCTTCCCAAGTGTCTGAATTCCTTCCCAGACAACAACTTATCCATGGTTACTCCCATCATTTTTGGCCTTCCCTGCAGTCTCACCCACAGAGAGGCACCGGCATTTCAGTTCAAAACCAAATACCAGCTTTATCAGACTCCTTTATCACTAATTATCCCTTCTTTCCTATATTCTTTCCCTCCCTGATGGGCCCTTCCCCTTGGCCTATAAACATATTCAAATCTCTCCCATCCTCAATTATTTTTATTTAAGGACCCTATCTCCATAGATAGATAGATAGATAGATAGATAGATGATAGATTTATTTCAGAGAGGAAGGAAGAGGGAGATAAAAACATCAATGATGAGAGAATCACTGATTGGCTGCCTCCTGCACACCCATTACTGGGGATCAAGCAGCAACCGAGTGTTATGTTCTGACTGGGAAGCCAACTGCGACCTCCTGGTTCATAGGTTGATGCTCAACCACTGAGCCACACTGCCCGGCAACCGTATCTCCTTTAAATTGTTGTTTTATTTTCCTCCTTCTCAGCTTGTCCTTACTTCCAAAAAATTAATATTCTCCTGGTGTCTCCACTTCCTCTTTTCTATTATCACAGTCCAAGCCTGTCTTAGCTTTTTGGGAAATTAAGTCATACTTTTGGCCCATTTTAAGTTTATATAATCAGCTAAAATCTTTGGATCATTTTAAAGCAATTGTTGCCAAGCTAAATCTCTCCCATCTTGAATTTGAGCAATCTATTATTTGAACACAAACTTAAAAACGGAAGTTTACTAACTTAATCTTACTGTTTTTTCAGCTTTGTCTCGTTTCCCATTCACTCAACCCATTGCTAAGCTAAGTTTGGGCTGTAGATCCTCCTGGTTCCTCCAGAGCTTTCCTGGACACTTGGGCTGAGAGGGATCACTGGGTTACCCCAAACTAACTTCACAGGGATTATACCCAGAGGTTCCAGAGAGCCCTTTTCTTTCAGAGGTCTGTTAACCCATCTGGCTCTACTGATAACATCCCACTGAAACTGTTCTCATTAAGGTCACCAAGAGCCTCTACATTGTGAATTTTTTCTTTTTTACCTGTGCATGGAATCACGTCATTTGTCTTCCTTCCTTCCTTCCTTCCTTCCTTCCTTCCTTCCTTCCTTCCTTCCTTCCTTCCTTCCTTCTTTCCTTTTTTAATCTCTCAGATCTCTCTGTGCCATTTCTCCTTTCTCACATTGGAATTTTGACTCCCTTCACTCCCCTTACAGCCCCTACTCCAGGTTCTCTTACCTCCATTCCTTCTTTCTCTGGCCTCTTCAATGTTGACTCTCAAGGTTCTACTCTTGGCACACTTGGCTACTTCTCTTCTTGTGCTTGCTCTCCCGGCATGATCTCATCCATCTACCTCAGAGGTTCTCAACCTTCTGGCCCTTTAAATACAATTCCTCATGTTGTGACCCCCAACCATAAAATTATTTTCGTTGCTACTTCATAACTGTAATTTTGCTACTGTTATGAATCGTAATGTAAATATCTGATATGCAGGATGTATTTTCATTGTTACAAATTGAACATAATTAAAGCATAGTGATTAATCACAAAAACAATATGTAATTATATATGTGTTTTCCGATGGTCTTAGGCGACCCCTGTGAAAGGGTCAGCAACCGAGTGTTATGTTCTGACTGGGAAGCCAACTGCGACCTCCTGGTTCATAGGTTGATGCTCAACCACTGAGCCACACTGCCCGGCAACCGTATCTCCTTTAAATTGTTGTTTTATTTTCCTCCTTCTCAGCTTGTCCTTACTTCCAAAAAATTAATATTCTCCTGGTGTCTCCACTTCCTCTTTTCTATTATCACAGTCCAAGCCTGTCTTAGCTTTTTGGGAAATTAAGTCATACTTTTGGCCCATTTTAAGTTTATATAATCAGCTAAAATCTTTGGATCATTTTAAAGCAATTGTTGCCAAGCTAAATCTCTCCCATCTTGAATTTGAGCAATCTATTATTTGAACACAAACTTAAAAACGGAAGTTTACTAACTTAATCTTACTGTTTTTTCAGCTTTGTCTCGTTTCCCATTCACTCAACCCATTGCTAAGCTAAGTTTGGGCTGTAGATCCTCCTGGTTCCTCCAGAGCTTTCCTGGACACTTGGGCTGAGAGGGATCACTGGGTTACCCCAAACTAACTTCACAGGGATTATACCCAGAGGTTCCAGAGAGCCCTTTTCTTTCAGAGGTCTGTTAACCCATCTGGCTCTACTGATAACATCCCACTGAAACTGTTCTCATTAAGGTCACCAAGAGCCTCTACATTGTGAATTTTTTCTTTTTTACCTGTGCATGGAATCACGTCATTTGTCTTCCTTCCTTCCTTCCTTCCTTCCTTCCTTCCTTCTTTCCTTTTTTAATCTCTCAGATCTCTCTGTGCCATTTCTCCTTTCTCACATTGGAATTTTGACTCCCTTCACTCCCCTTACAGCCCCTACTCCAGGTTCTCTTACCTCCATTCCTTCTTTCTCTGGCCTCTTCAATGTTGACTCTCAAGGTTCTACTCTTGGCACACTTGGCTACTTCTCTTCTTGTGCTTGCTCTCCCGGCATGATCTCATCCATCTACCTCAGAGGTTCTCAACCTTCTGGCCCTTTAAATACAATTCCTCATGTTGTGACCCCCAACCATAAAATTATTTTCGTTGCTACTTCATAACTGTAATTTTGCTACTGTTATGAATCGTAATGTAAATATCTGATATGCAGGATGGTCTTAGGCGACGACCCCTGTGAAAGGGTCGTTCGACCGCCAAAGGGGTCTCGACCCACAGGTTGAGAACCGCTGATCTACCTATTGCAGAGATTCTCAAATCTTTTGTCCAATTCATATCTCTTTCTCAAGCTTCAGTCTTCAAAGTTCAGTCCTATAGCCACCTGCTTCCTGGACATCTCCACGAGGTAACCACAGAACTTCAATTTATCATGTTTAAAACCAAACTCCAAACTACTTTTTTTCACTTGTCCCTCTTCCAACATCCCCTATTTCATTCATTTACCCACACCTAAAATCCCAATATTCCAGAGATCTTTGGAAACAAGCCAGGGATTTCTTGGCCACTCACATATTACAATTCTTTCATTTTCTGTAAACAAACTGGATTCAAACTGTCACTGGGTGGATTGGTACATTAAGGTTGCTAATGTTCCAGTCCCATAAGACAATTTATATGTTATAACAAGGGACCTTGAGGAAACTAAAAATGCATAATAGGAGTGAAATAGATGCTTTGTATTTCCTGGTGAAAAATTACCAAATGGTGCCAGATTATAAATGTAGATATCCAAAATCACAACATTAAGAATTTGAAAGTATATATGTCATGGTCTCTACCATTGACATTATTAAAATATACTTAAGAAAAATAGACAGTTGAGAAAGATAATTATGCATGCCCAAATAGAGATTAATAAAAGAGATTGCTTAGGTGCCAAAAAGATAAAGAAAAGGTGTTTTGGAGGAAATAACAGAGCAGTGTATGCTTAGGTGTACCCTTATAGAAAGAATCAAGTTCAAATATTTGGGATAGCATTTGCAAGTAAGGTCACACAGGTAGTACAAATAATTTATATTGTGGTCCATCAGGAAGTTAGATTAAAATAGCTAGTAACAATTGTAACTAATGATTAATTGTTAAACTAAAATTGTTAACAAAAAAACTAATAACAAAAATAATAGTAATATAGCACATGTTATCGGTGTCTCATTGACATCCTGTAGGGACTTTCCATTCCATACATGCCTAAAAAATCCTTGCAACTTTCAACCTGAGAACATTTTCTCTTTTTCTCAACCCTGCAGGACAGGGCATAGTGCCAGGGAATTTTCACCTTCAACCAATGACAAATGTAAGTAGAAGGGCAAATATACCAATTATGGTAGACTGAAAAATGTCCTC